GACAATGATGAGCTGAGTAAAGAAACCAGCCAACTTAGGGAAGAGCTTAGAAGAGATAGGGAAGCTCACTCCCAACGGATTTCCACCCTTGTGAAAGTATTGACCCCCTCTACCTTTCACCCATGAACATGTTCCTTCTTAGTGTCCATATTTTCCTTTGCTATTCCAGTGATGCTTTATATTTTTTTTCTCTTTTATCTCAGTCTGAGTAGTTTGCAGTATGCTTAGTTTATTTCGTTCTAATGGTTAAGACGAGGCCCCAGGCTTCTTTTGGCACTACTTAATGTCTCATCTTGTTCTGCTTTACTACTTTGTACAATATTGGTTCTTCAGCCTAGTAAGTTTTCCTTGATATTTCTTAAGCTTGTGTTGTAGCCTGTTTGGCCTTGAATCTCATGTTATCTGTGGTTCATCTGTCTAACATCTTTTTGTTTTTTTTAATGATGCAAAAAGGGGGAAGATAAGGTTGGGAGGTTGTGGGTTGTGAACATATATATCTGTCAATAGTACTTGTTGTGATTATCTAGTTCTTTGTTGCGATTACCTGGTTCTACTGTGTACAAAGTTTGTCATAATCAAAAAGGGGGAATTTGTTGAGATTGAAGTTTTGATTATTAACAAAGTATGTCTAAACGCAATAATTCAAAGAACCAGGTCCTCAATGTAGCTGCTTAATTGTTCTAAAGAACTAGCTCCTCAGGTTAAAGGACCGGCTCCTTAGGTTGATGATTGCACATCTGTACAAGGCAGTAACTTTATTTCAAAGTTACCCAGGTACGAGTGTGGTGGATGAAGGCTGCTACATGTGATAAGAGTTGTTTCTCAAGAAGATACGGATAATTCAGTCAGTCAAAGGAGAAGCTAACTATGTATAGGACTCCTAGAAGATCTCAAGTCAATGCGTTTAAATACTATCTACTTTGGACTTCTGTTTTTATCCTTTTACACATCAACTGAAGAGTCATATATTGTTTGCTCTAGTCGAGTACTTGCATTGTATTCTTCTTGAGTCAGTCTAGTGAATGTGTTTTAGGAAATCGAGTTGTAATCAAGTGTCACAAACAATTAGTGAGTTTGAGTGAGTGTTTGCTTCACAAGTTAGAGTATCTTATAAATCAAATAATCGTAGTAGGAGTACTGGAGAGTATTGAATTAAAGTCTTGTAATCGATACATTTTTGGCTCATTTTTCTAGTGGAGTTGAAGTTGAAAATCCTACGTTGTAGGTTGTGGTTTTTGCACCTTTTGAGCCGGGTGATTTTCCACGTAAAAATCATTGTGTTTACTTTACTGCTTATTTTACTTCACGTTTAAGGAGAACGATAACGAACCAAGTTCTTTAGTAATTCATACAGGCACTCAAATTAATAAAGTCCAACCCACAAGATTAAGGGAGCCACCGAGTACATCCCTGAGGGGGCAGACTCTGGGTTGTCGTGGGCATTGCTATGTCATCGGGGACAATGACAGGTTGAGCGTGGAAGGATGTTACGCCCCACATTTTGGGGGTCTTGGAATCCATAGTACTATGCTTTATTAGGCGGAAGGACGAGGGTCAGTCACGTAGGCGACGTGTGTTGATGATGCGTTTGTGAAGGAGCATCAGGAAGTGGGGCTATGCATGAGGCAATAACCATTTGGGTATGTTGTGTTGCATGCCCTAATAGTGCTAAGAGAGTTTAGCATGGACTTGGGATGAGACCAAGGGTCTAGCCTGCGGTCGACGAGCCTGAGTGTCAGGACCGTATGTTTCTGAGCTATGAATGGAATCTAGGATTTCAGTAGTAGGCCATGTTCCTAGTATGTTCTTATATATGTTGACAAAGTTTGGCATCATTTGGAGTTCGTTTGCCTATGGGCTTGACTTAGCCAAGGAGCAGTGGCATTGTCGTAATTTGCTGTAGTGCCCGAAGGCTATAACTATTTCCACCAGTGTAGGAATGGGATGAAACTTCATGGAAGTGAAGGAAGTCAAGACAAAGATTTAGGAACAGACGACGCCTTGTTTGGAGTTCGGATGAGTGAGAAAGGTTCATTATGATTCTCTGGCCAAAACATGTCTTGTGGGGAATCTTTGGCTTTTTTATTTTAAGCATATATAAGGGGGCAGAGGTGTTGAAGCTCAGCCAGCGTCCCCCGTGCGTGCTGCCACCAAGCCGCACCAAGTAAGCTGCCTTGAAGGGGAACCTCAAGGGCCTCCCTAGACATCTCAAAGGAGTGTCTTAGGTATCCATACGAGCTTGGGAACTCTATGGACGACGCCACGCCTCAAGGCTAGTGTTGGGCACATAACGGGTGCCAGAGGCTTGACGCGTGGGACGATTATGCCCTATGGGTTACCAAAATGGTGGATAAGGACCTCCGTGCCCATTGAATACTTGGAGCACCTATCTTAGGGGCCTTATGTGTCGACTTGTGAGCACGGCTTGGGCTCAGCTATGCGAGCAAGGGTCTATTGGTCTAGACGTAGAGTTGTGGGGCGACATTGCACTATGCGGGATGGAAGTATGTCGCGAGGGCTATGTTTGACAATGCCATAAGACAACCAAGGGCATACTATGAAAGACGCATATGATATATGGCAAGGACTAAAGGTTGCCTACTCGGGCGAAACACAAGCTGGGTGCGAATGCACGAGGCGAGTGTCAAGCTTGAGGATTGGACTGCGCACGTAAGAGCGATACTCAGTGCTAGGGGAGGGACGGACATGTCCTTAGCTAGCCCCGGGTGTGCGCATGGATGAGATCCAACAGATGAGAAGCGCCACAGCTAGTCAAGGCCATGAGCCTAGACATCAGACAAGGGACATAGTTGGAGTAAGCCTCCTAGGCAAGGTTCACCACAGGCACATAATCGTGCTAGAAAACCTAGGAAAGATGACTACAGGCGCCTTACAAGCTATTTGTGTGCCGCTAATGTTCGGAAAAGGTCGGCCCGTGACACTAACACTCTATTTGGATCATTGTTATCCTTTTTTTTGAGCAAATAGGAAATATTTATATTAAAAACTACGTAGCGTTCAGTACATAACTTCCATAATTTGTGTCACTAAGGACACATTGATTGCCTAAGCATGCTAGGACATTGCAAGCATCATAAGATAGAAACTTAACAAAAACATAGTGTTCTTCTAGTTCACTTTCCACAAAATATTCTACATAAGAAGGTGGTTGAACAAAATGTCTTTTCCTCTTTGTTTGAGCAACAGCCTTCATTGCCAGTTGATGAGCTATATTATTCCCTTTCCTGAATACGTGCTGGAGGGTACCTCCTTCTGTTGGTGCATTAACAACCTGCATTCACTATCAATGTCATCATATAATTTGTTGCCTTGTTGGATAGAGTGGATCACCTCCGTGGAGTCTGTCTCTATTTCAAGAGGGAACATTCCCCATGCTTGTGCTGTTTGGAGTCCCTCTAGGAGTGCCTTGATTTCTGCTTGTAATGATCCGCTAGCATGAGTCGATTTTGCAAAACCAACTACCCATTTTTCATTGGCATTCCTGAATACACCTCCTAGGCCACAATTTTTGTTGTTGCTATTGAAACTAGCATCTATATTTAGTTCAAACCATCGTCTTGGTGGTCTGTGCCATCTTACTTTTATGGGGATTTTTTGTGGAGAGTTGAGACTTTTTTCAGTGAGAAGTTTAAATTCAGTTGCCCTTTGAATAACTTGATCACCATTTATAGGATTGTTAATATTGTTTTGATTGTTGTTATTGCTATTTAACCAAATGTACCAGATGGCAAAAGAAAAGAATGAATCCCAAGTTATAAAGTTGTTCTTTAGTGGGTAGTCAAAAGCTTTTAATTGTAGACAGTGTTCATCTTGTGCTTTATAGAAGTTTTGCCACCCAAGACAATCTCAAAAAGGTTTGGTGGCTTTACAATTAAAGAAAATATGGGTTATGGATTCCTCTTCTTTGCATTTGCATTGCCATCCAAGACAATCTCAAAAAGGTTTGGTGGCTTTACAATTAAAGAAAATATGGGTTATGGATTCCTCTTCTTTGCATTTGCATATAGGGCAGTTGGGATCAATGTTTAAACCAATTCCTGCCAGGTATTTTCTACATGGTATCCTGTTGTGGAGACATTGCCATAAAAAGAATTTAATCTTATTAGGACAACTTAGATCCCCAATCCATCGTTTCATAATGTATTGTATCGTATCGTATTGTATCGTTTTATAACTACAACGTTTGGATAGACTGTATTGTTTGCTGTTGTTAAATAGCATTTTGTTATTTGGTTTGACTGTATCGTACTTTAATATAACTGATAAGTTTACTAAAATATCCTCAATTATTTTAAATATTAATTTTTTCAAGAATTATGCGTAAAAATAATTTAAGAAAATATCTTTCTACTAAAATCAAAAAATAACTATCATTAGAAAAAAAAATAAAGAACGATGATAGAGAAACAAACGAAGACCGTTCAGTTGGCAGAACAAAGGAACGGAGATAATTAAGTAATACTTTGCACACTTGAAAACAACCAATAGTATATAGCTAATTGGAGATTACAGTAATTAGAATTGGAGTTAAAATCAAAGAAGGAGAAAAACAAAACAAAAAGAAGACAAAACCTATTCTTACTACCTTTGACAGAGTTGGGAATAGTAAGCGGCATAAGGAAAAACGGGACGAATACAAAGTAGGTTAAACGTTGGAGATTTGGAGTTAAACGAAAAAAGGTAAAGGATAAAATATAATTTTAAAGTAATAAATTAGGACATAATTGGAAAGAAAAATAAAAAATAATTCCACCATACCAAATTGGTTGTTTAAAAAAATAAGACTTTTTATTATTTCGGAACAATATATTTAACAATACAATGCAATTAATTTTAAAAAACAATCAAAATAAATATCGGTAACAACCAAGCTGTAACTCTTCACAGGCGCCAAGAGCGAGTCAAAATTGTAACGCTCCATGGTTCTTATATTCCGTCCCCTCCTTAAGGCCGCCAATTGGAGACAATTTTACTAACTAAAATTAAACAAATAAGGAAAGCAGCTTTTGGCCAAATTTTTATTGTCTTCTCCTCTCTCTCTCTATATATATGTCGCAATCAAAAGTGTGACTTTCAATCACTCTTGCTTCTTCTCTCTGCCATAGCCAAAAACTAACTAACAGGTTCATGTCCCTCCAACCTCGCACCCCATAAGAAAATCCAACGTAAAATTCCAGCGATTCATTGAAATTTACCGGTATTTTCTTCTTCTTATGTAGATGTATACAATTTTGTCTGCTTGTTCGTGTGATGATCGTATGTCTTTTAGATCTATGTTACATTGACTTAATTATTGGTAATTTTAGTCTTTTTTTACTAAATTTTTGTAGACTTTGAATAATTGTCAGTGCTCGCTTTCTTATTACTCCTACTGAACCCTGGTACAAACAAGACAAATCAAGGAAGAATATAGGTTTGATAAACCTTTTTTTGTTTTCACTGATTTAACCTATTGCGTGATGATATGTTTGTGATTTTTATTAGGTTTTCTCTCAGTTAAGAGGAAGTGGATATGTCTGGAATTATAGGTCGAAAATTGGCCAGCAGAGGCATTTCTGCTTTCGTGAGTATTGGAGTTAATTTTTTTGTAATAGATTCAGATTTCATTTTTCTGAAATTTTTTAAATTGCGTTTCTGGTTTCAGAATATAAACCAGTTCTTGCGGGAAAGCAGGGTATTTACATCTAGAACTTACTCTTCCACTGCTAAAGAGGTGATTTCTTTTTCCTTTAATTTTGTCATGCAATAATTTAATGTTTAGTTTTATTTGATAGTGAGTGCTTTAAACATCTTTGCAGATGACAGTGCGAGACGCTCTAAATTCTGCTCTTGATGAAGAAATGTCTGCAGATCCTAAGGTCTTTATAATGGGGGAAGAGGTATAGTTGTAGCTTTTTAAAAGGTTCTTAAAATGCATTGTATAACCATTCAATGTTATTTTTTAAATCTTGATCAATAAAATATATATTCTTTATTGTGTTGACTTAGGTTGGTGAGTACCAGGGAGCCTACAAGGTTAGATATCTTGCACAATCTCAATTGTTGCACTAATCTCATGTATTCATCACACTTGATAATCTATATTTTATGCCTGATTTTTTTTTGGATTATAAATCTCCCAGATTTCAAAGGGGCTTTTGGATAAATATGGTCCGGAAAGAGTTCTTGATACACCGATCACTGAGGTTGCTCCTTGTACACTAATAATCAAATAGATGTTCTTTGGCTCTCCGTGGAACATATATGATGAAGCGCCTAAAATGTCTTATGTTCTTTCCTAGGCTGGATTTGCTGGAATTGGAGTTGGTGCCGCTTACCATGGACTGAAGCCTATAATAGAATTCATGACATTTAACTTCTCCATGCAGGTTGGACTTTTTTTCTCTTTAAACACCGTTTTTCTTTTCTTAGTGACTTACTGAATTATTTGTCAAAGATGTAGAAGTCATTCACATTGTCGTTGAATGAAACAAATGTAGCACACAACTGTATCAGTTCAATGCATCCATTAGCATGTTATAGCACCTCTTTTTTTTTTTTTTTTTGGGGGGGGGGTGGGTGGGTGGGTGGGGGTGGGGGTGGGGTGGGGGGTGGTGGTGGTGGTGAGTGGGTGCATCTGTGGGTGTTTTTAAGTAAGATTTAGGATAAACAAAACTTGCTAATAGGATTGGTTCATGAATCAAGATTAGTGCGGAGTTATTTTCTAGTATGATGTGTTGTAAGTTGTTCTTTTCTTTGTTTTGTATTTTTGCTGATTGAATGAAATGTGTTGCTAATACAAGCAACAATATGCTCTTATAAAAAAATGATTTTAAAAAATAAATACAACAAAATGCCAAAGGGGGAGGAAACTTAAGTTATAGTCTTTGAGGACAAAAGATTCTGTCTTGGTATTTCAGTTCTGAATTCGACAGACCATCTACACTAGTGAAAGCAAACTGCTATTGCTTTCTCTTCCGTGTACTCGTGTTCTCTCAGGGAATGGATGCCCGCTATTGCTTTCAGCCACTGAAATGCTAGCAACAAGCAGCTTCACTGTAAGGAGGATACAAATTTTAAGCACTTAAGCTAGAAAGTTAAAACAGGGCACTTTGATATTTGAGGTCGATACCAACTCGTTATAGTCCACAAAGATTTCGTCATCTCCAGCTTTATAATGCGTGACACTACAACTAATTCTTGAGTGGCTGTGCTGGTAAATGGGCTATACTATTAAATACTTAAATGGCCTTATGGTTTTTTCAGTAGCTCTATTTTATTTAGAAATAAGTATAAATGTTTTCTTATTACTGTTGTTTTGCTAGCATTGAGAATTTTTTGTATTTTCTTATCTAACCAAATTGACATGCTGCAATTTATTCCCTCTCTTTGTACTAACATGTGTCTGTAGAGCTTCTAGAATAGAATATGACAACGTCATTTCTATTTGCAAATGTTGGCATGGATTCTGGTTAAGTAGTGGCATGTGGAAAATCATTTTTTATATAGGATTTGTAATATTATCATAACGTTGGAGTTATTTATAGCACTTGTCCTTGAGTACAGGCATATAACCTTGCTGGTGCTTATTTGCAGGCAATCGACCATATTATTAATTCTGCCGCAAAATCCAATTACATGTCTGCTGGTCAGATATCAGTGCCAATTGTTTTCAGAGGTCCTAATGGTGCTGCAGCTGGAGTTGGTGCCCAGCATTCTCAGGTATGTCTATGAACTGACATGGGGTGTGCACTCTGTTTTGTTGGTGCTGTTGTCTGAGTTCATTAAAGTTAAATGAAGTAAGCTTATGCATCATGTTGCTACACTGTTATAAGTTATTACATTTGATCTTCTGTATTTATCTCATCTTGGTGGTAAAAGTATGCTATATAAGATCATCTGTTTCCAGATTGAATTTTTTTTTTCTTTGTATGCGGCAATAGGCAGAAATAAAGGGAATTTTTCATCTAAGATTCGTTAAGATTGTGTTTTAACGTTGCCTTCAGTTAATCAATTACGGATAACACACTTGAACCATCATTTGAAGCACCATCAGTTAATTGGCTGCTTGGTTTTAGGGACTGATCAGGTTGCAGGCACTAGCTTATGAATGAGGATGCTAGAAAGTTAGTTAGAAAAATAATATCTGGCTGATATGATAATGGAATTTTCTCCTTTCAGAGAGCTATATTTGTTTTTTCCAAGAATGTCCAAGATTTCTCTTTTTGTACTATCACAGCAATTAGTATGAGTAAAGTAGAGAGGGTTAGTTAAAGACAGGTTGTTAAGAGATGAGAGTGTGGGGACTGTAGAGACAGGGATAAAAAGCGTAGTTCCCGGTGTCATAGTTTACCTTTCTATCTTCCCCTCTTGTGACGTTCCCTAAGCTCTTCCTTCCTCACTTTTCATTCTACTGTTTTTGTGGCTTCTCTTCTACTATCGGGAGTTGTATGGGTGATGAGGTGAGCTCTAAAGCATATATACATATATAAGTCTGGGTAAGCGACCATTGGCGGGATGGGTAGCAGCTACTATCATTATACCAGTCTAAGGTTGTTCGTGGAGGTAGGTCTCTTGTGTAAGTAATTCTTTGGTAAAGCGAGGAGCTATGAAATTCATATTGGGTATTTGAGTTTTAGAAGCTGAAAACATATACTGGATCAAGTAAATATGCAAAACTTAAGGTAGAAGCGTAGATATGCTTTGTTAGATAGTTAATAGTTGTGTAAATAAGTATAGTCCCACATGGAATAGGATTAATGTATGTATTGTGTATTGTTATAAATAGGGGTCCCTGTATTATAGTTAAACATCAATAATATATTTTTCTCCTGTGATTTCTTGACACAGTATCGAAGTTATAGTGAGAAAATACTTGCTGTGCAATCTACCAGCGATTCCGGGAAGAAATAGTTTCAACGTGCAACTTTTCTCGTGGCTGTTTGCATCAAAGTCATTATTTATCGGTGTTGTACACAAATCAACACCACCACAAGGTTCGTCGTAGTCCCATGATCTAACCCCATCAAACCCCACCGGAAAAATCCTCCCCATGCGCCGGACAGATAGGAAATTTTCTGGCAAGATCTGTACATGCGCATGGCGCGTGATCCCTCTTCCGGCCAGATTCCGACAGAACTTCTTCAGGACAGCTTACTCACACAGTGATTCTGAGTCCACCTATACTATTTCCTACAGATTCCGAAAACTTTAGAATTTTAGGCGAGCTGCCGTTACTTTTCCTGCGTGAACAATATTCTGTCCAGTTTGAGCAGTGCTTTCTTGAATTTCCTAGTTTTGTTGGGATCTTCTGAAGCTATTCTCTTGACTTCTTGAAGTTGATTACGAATTTGGTCAATTAGAATTCACTTCAAAAATTGTCTTTCAATTTAGATGCTTTTGGTTCCAAAAATAATGGAGTTGGAAATTCAGCCTTTATGATTACTTCCCTATTTGAGAGTTCAAATTATTTATTCGTCTGTCGAGTTGTGGTGTAAAGGTCAGGATGTTCAAGATCACTTAATTAAAAAGGCTAGCCAGAGAGATGAAAAGGCCAAACACATTGAAAAAAAATCGATGCTCAATTATGTCGTATCCTATGGCGGTCTATTGATTCCAAGTTGATGTCTTTGTTTCATCCATTCCAGACATGTCATTTAGCTTGGGAAAAGGCTTGCACTTTATACACTAATGACATATCTCGTTTCTATGATGTGATATTGCGGATGACAATTTGAAGAAACATGAATTGGATGTCTACTTACTTGGGACAAGTGCAGGCCATTATGGATATGTCTACTTACTTGCAGTGACAGAAGATGTTTCTAATTCTTACGGTCGCTGGACTACCTAATGACCTTGATTCAATACGCGACCAGGTTTTGCTACTCGGACTATCCCTACAATTGATGCATTATTCTCTAGATTACTTCGCCTTGCTGCAGTGCCAGTCACATAGTGATCTTATCATAGACAATTGATCCTCTATTATCGCATCCGAAACAGTGAAAAATCGAGCATCTTAGACTATAGAGAATAGACGAGGAGGAGGTCGTTTTGGAAGGTCTCGACCCAAGTGTTCTTATTATAATAAGCTTGGACACACTCGTGAGGTGTGTCACTCTTTGCATGGGCGACCACCAAAAATGCTCATGTTGCTCAAACCAAGATTGTAGGTAACCAGGGGTTTTCTTTATCTGAATGGGAATATAATGAGTTCCTTCAATATTGAGCTAGTAAACAGACACCTCCACAAGTAACTTTTGTTGCTCATACTGATACTTGTGTTGCTGGTAATTCTTTTGCTTGTGTTTCCCGTCCACTACTCTTGGACCGTGGGTCATGGACTCAAGCGCCTCTAATCATATTTTTGGTAATAGTTAACTCTTGTCAAAAATTGTTTATTCATACTCTCTTCCCAATGCGACTCTAGCCAATGGAGTCCCAACAAAAGCAAAAGGAGTTGGACAAGGCGACAAGCTAATCCCTTATCCTCTGTCACATTAGATTCTGTCCTTTATGTCCCTGACTGTCCTTTTAATCTTGCATCAGTTAATCGATTGACTCGTGCCCTCCATTGTGGTATATATTTTATTGATGAGTCTTTTGTGATGCAGGACAGCAGTACGGGACAAACGATTGGCACAGGGTGTTAGTCACAAGGCCTTTACTATGTTAACTCACTCAATCCCTTCACAGCATGTCCAGTTACTGATCCTCCAGACCTAATTCACAGACGTTTAGGACATCCGAGTTTATCCAATCTTCAGAAGATGGTGCCCAGTTTGTCTAGTTTGTCTATATTAGATTATGAGTCGTGTCAACTTGGGAAACATACTCGAGCTTCCTTTTCGCAAAATGTTAAGAGTTGTGCGGAGTCTATGTTTTCTTTAGTTCATTCTGATATATGGGGTTGTAGTAGAGTCAGTTCAACCTTAGAATTTCATTATTTTGTTAGTTTCATTGATGATTACTCAAGATTTACTTGGATTTTCCTAATGAAAGTTCGTTCTGAGTTGCTTTCTATATTCCAAAGTTTTTGTGCTGAAATATAAAATCAATTTGGCATTTCTATTCGCATCTTTCGCAATCATAATGTCTTAGAATACTTATCCTCTCAATTTCAATAGTTTATGACTTATCAGAGAATTATTCATCAGATGTCTTGTCCGTATACCCCTCAGCAGATAGGGTAGCATAGAGAAAGAATAGGCACTTCATTGAGATTGCTCACACACTTCTCATTGAGTCCCATGTTCCGCTGCATTTTTAAGGTGATGCAGTTTTCACGACTTGTTACTTAATTAATCGGATGCCTTCATCTTACATTCAAAGTCAGATTTCGCATTCAGTATTGTTTTCTCAGTCACCATTATACTCACTTCCCGCTAATGTGTTTGGGAGCACATGCTTCGTTCATAACAACTCTCGAAAAAGATAAGTTAGCTCCTCGTGCTCTCAAGGGTGTCTTCCTTGGGTATTCTCGAGTTCAAAAGGGATTTCATTGCTACTCACCTGATCTTCGTTGGTACCTTATGTTAGCTGATGTTACATTTTACGAGTTTCACCTTACTTTACTTCTCTGACCACCTTGATATATTTGAGGTCTTACCCATACAACTCTTCCACATCCTAAGCCATAGAAGTCTTACCCATACCGACTGTTGAGGAATCTAGTGCTACTCCCCCTAGATCCCAACCACAGGAACACCACTCTAGACTTATCGTCGTCGTCCGTGTCCAGCATCAGGCCTAGCTAGTTCACATCCCGCATCTGACCCTGCTCCTAACTTGTCTCCTCCTAGTCTACTGATTGCACTTCGGAAAGATATATGGTCCACACTTAATCCAAATCCACATTATGTCGGTTTAAGTTATCATTGTCTGTCATCACCTCATTATGTTTTTGTATATTCTTTGTCCTCTGTTTCCATCACTAAGTCTACAGGTGAAGCATTGTCTCATCGAGAATGGCGACAGGCTATGATTGACGAGATGTCTGCTTTACATACGAGTGGTACTTGGGAGCTTGTTCCTCTTCCTTCAGGTAAATCTATTGTTGGTTGTCGTTGGGGTTATGCTGTCAAAGTTGGTCCGGATGACTAGGTTGATCGACTTAAGGCCCGTTTTGTTGCCAAAGGGTATATGCAGATATTTGGGCTCGATTAAACTGATAGTTTCTCTCCTGTGGCTAAAATAGCATCAGTCCGCCTTTTTTTATCCATGGCTATTGTTCGTCACTGGCGTCTCTATCAGTTGGACATTGAGAGTGTTTGTCTTCACGGTGATCTTGAGGATGAAGTTTATATGGAGTAACCACCTCGTTTTGTTGCTCAGGGGGAGTCTAGTAGCCTTGTATGTCGTTTGCGCCAGTGACTTTATGGTCTAAAGCAGTCTCCTGGAGCCTAGTTTGGTAAGTTCAGGACAATTATTCAAGAGTTTGGCATGACTCGTAGTGAAGTTGATCACTCTGTGTTTTATCAGCATTCTACTTCAAATCTTCGTATTTATCTGGTGGTTTATGTTGACGATATTGTTATTATCGGCAATGATTAAGATGATATTACTAAGTTGGAGCAATATCTCTTTTAGCACTTTAGGACTAAGGATCTTGGCAGATTAAGTATTTTCTGGGTGTTGAGGTCGCTCAGTCTAGCTCAGGTATTGTGATCTCACAACGGAAGTATGCCTAAGACATTCTTGAGGAGACATGCATGATAGGTTGTAGACCTGTTGACACTCATATGGATTCGAATTTTAAAGTTCTGCCAGGACAAGGGGAGCCGGTTAGTGATCCTGCAAGATATAGGTAGCTGGTTGGTAAATTAAATTACCTCACAGTAACTAGACTTGATATTTCCTTTCATGTGACTATTGTGAGTCAGTTTGTGGATTCTCCCTGTGATAGTCATTAGGATGCTGTTGTCCGCATTCTTCGACATATAAAATCAGCTCCATGCAAAGGGTTATTGTTTGAGGATCGAGGCCATGAGCAGATCATTGGATACTGAGATGCTGATTGGGAAGGATCACCTTCTGATAGACGTTCTACATCTGGGTATTGTGTTTTAGTAGGAGGTAATTTGGTGTATTAGAAGAGCAAAGAAACAGAATGTAGTTGCTCGGTCTAGTGCAGGAGCAGAATATCGAGCAATGGCTATGGCAATATATGAGCTAATTTGGACCAAACAGTTGCTCAAAGAGTTGAAATTCGGTGAAATCAGCTAGATGGAACTTGTGTGCGATAATCAAGCTACCCTTCATATTGCATCAAATCCATCACTCCGTGACACAATTAAACACATTGAGATTTATTGTCACTTCGCCAGAGAAAAGATACTCACAGGAGATATTGCTACAAAGTTTGTGAAGTCAAATGATTGTCTTGCAGATATTTCACCAAGTCCCACACTGGTCTTCGTATTAGTTACATATGTAACAAGTTCGGTACGTATGATCTGTATGCACCGGCTTGAGGGGAGTGTTAGATGGTTAGTAGTTTTGTAAATAAGTATTGTCCCACATGGAATAGGATTAGTGTATGTATTGTGTATTATTATAAATAAAGGTCCTTGTATTATAGTTAAACATTATTAATATATATTTTTCTCCCGTGATTTCTCACATGCTTAAAGATACTAATATTAAGTGAGAGAACTACAAGTGTTAGGACTAATGAGTAACGACCAAATTATAGCTGTTTGCTTTTATCTGTTTTGTGGCTATCAGTGTATGTTGGTCATTATTTGTGTCATGGGCGGCTTTCCAGCCATGCCCCATGACCCCTTGGGTGCGCCCCGTGGCGTCCTAGCAAGCCTCCCAATGCCTAGCGCCACGGACGGCCCCGTGGTCTTGCCGCGCCAAGTGACAAGCGCGCAGGTGCCTCTGTCGCTCCACCGATATCCCTCGCCAGCGCCAAGCCGCAGGCAGATTCCAACAGCTGCCGCGCGCGCAGACCGTGATGCCAAAGACAATGCTGCTGACAATGGACCTGCTGCTGCCTTATAGAAAACTAAGTCATTTTCATTGTAATTATAGAGTAGTTTTATTTCATGTACTTCCATTTTGTTTCTCTAGCTTAGTCAAGTCTAGTCTTGTAGTTTTGGATTATTTTTTTTAAGCATTATTAGGGGGATCAAGCAATCAAAACTTTCTAGCAAGCAAGCAATTGTCTGTACTGGTGTCTCTCCCCCTCGACACCGCGTTGCTTTTCTGTAATAGCTTTCATTAATGCAATCAAGCTTTCTTTCATTCTCAATTCTCATTTCTGTTCTCTCAATTGCTCTTGACATTTGTTTTCCCGTACGGCACTGACAATCTCGTCTAGCGTACGGAGGGGACCTCAGTTGGCGGACAACAACTGCACTGACATCAGTTGCTTAGCCTTACGTCGCCCTTCCAAAGAATCTTAGGAAGGCGCCGCGTAACATTAGATGTGGCAAAATGGATAAAATTTATAAGAATCTGGCCATATTATCCGCTCAAAAATGGGTTGGATACCTGATCCACTAAAAGGGGGTCAAATATAGGTCAACCCATATTATCCGCTCAAAAAAATGGATAACCCGCGTGTCGAAAATGGACTTCACCCATTGATGACCCAGTTGGCACAGACTTGGTTGACTTTTTAGAATTGATCCTTTGTAGATTTGCCATCTTGGGCACCTCTACTATTGAGATTGCAGATTAAAATGCCAAAGTCAAGCTTTTGTTTCTTTTTTGTTTTTTTTTTCTTTTTCTTCTCTTTTGTTCTTTCTTTTTTCTTCTCATTTTTGTCATAAACTAAAGTCTGGCTCTTACCTGGGTGTAATTCTTTTATGACAGATCTTTTTTTTCTATTTTTTTTTCCTTGAGCTAACCTTTTTTTTTTAAATTCTTTTTCATAATTGTTTGATTTATTCAGATAAAAAAGTTTAAAATAAGAAAACGCCCCGTACATTTTTGGGATAGTATATCCTAATAATATGTATTAAAGTGGCTCTGCATATGAATTTCAAAGGAAAACGTTACCGAATAAGCTAAGTTGTTATCTATATCACTAATCTTTGGACACACACGAACTCCATATCTCCATATAGGATAACCCATATTTTAAGTGTTCATCATAAAATTTAAAGTACACAAGAAGTTGTACTCTTTTTTACTTTGACTGTAAAATTGATGCCGATTATGTAAATAAATTATTATTTACATCATTACCATTGAAGAAACATGTAGATATTATTATAAAAAAAAGGACAGCTCGATGCATTAAGCTCCCGCTATGGGCGGGGTCTGGGGAAGGGCTGAACCCCAAGGGTCTTTTGTACGCATCCTTACCCTGCATCTCTGCAAGAGGCTGTTTCCACGGCTCGATATTATTAGAAAACAAAAACCTAATTTTCAAGTGTACTAACTAAATGTTGATCATGAATAATAATATTAATTTTGATTTAAAGATCGTTATTAAAGCATTTATATAGTACAAAGCAAAGAGTGATCCAATCTTTGGCAGAGATTACCTTCTTCCTTTAAATGAAACACCTAAGAAAATGGAGTAAATATATCTCCTCCTTTGGATAAATGGTGTATTGTGTATGCATTTAGACAAAAAGTAAAAATTGAACATTCAAGAAGCCATGGATAATATGGATTCGGTTAACCTAATTCTTACCCGTATTAAATATTGGGGGGACGGGAGGGGGTGGGAGGTTGGAAATTTTATCCATTTCTGGCTAACCCATTTTCGACCCGCCCATATTCGACCCAACTTGCCCGTTTGCCGCCCCTAGTCATTATCAATGGATTTTTATGTGTATATTCCTTAATCTATGCATTTGACCCTTAAAGTTATCTTTATAATGTAACTTGTGATCTATAATGTATGAGAAGCCTTCAAATAACTTTATGCAAAAATAAATGCTAGAGCATAATCGGACTGCAATAGTACTCAAGCCACTGCTCGGGAAGACGGTATCCACTGTTTTGTGGCGTAGCCATCCTGACCCCTAGTTTCGGTCTTCAAATACGCCTTCCATATATACATACATCATCAGAAGTCTTAGTTATGAATCTGATCTTCTGAGCCTTTTGAACAGGCATCAGCTTATAGCCCTTTCCTGCGCTGTTGCTCTTTACCTTTGGAGAGAAATGCTATTTCCTTATATATTAAATTCTAATGATTGACATCAGGAAACTGCTTTTTGGAAGTAGTTGAATGGTTATAAATGAGCATTTAATCTGTGGATGGAGTGTTGTGCATCAATCTGATGATTGACATTAGGACATTTGAACAGCATCCTGGCTGTGTACTTCTGAATATCTAACTTGGAAGTACCACCCGCTCTGCTGCATTAGGTGTGGAATGGAGATAAGGTCATGGCTTAAAACCCAAAGTTACTCCCAATCAGTTCTTAAAGTATGGCTTGCTGTGTGCAAGATCTTTTAAATGTGACTTGCTATAGATAATTTTCTTTATCACCATATGAGGAATAAGCTAATTTGTAGTCTAATTATCATTCTTATAAATTGATGGAACAATGTCGCTAGTGAAATAGGAGTCTCTAAAAACTATTCAAAGTAACTGGAGGTCAACAAAGTCCAGCTAAGAAAGTTTATGTGTTTCACTTCTGGTTGTATAGACAATTCTGAGAGAAGATCTAAGGTCTATATCTCAATTTCTGATTTCTGAAAGCAGAGTTTCTTGAGCTCCCCTGTACCATAAAAATCTTTACCTTGGTGCATCATTGTCCTGCCCCAGGGATTGCAACAACTGGACACCTTCCTCTTCAAACTATTAAAAGAAAAAATATTAGGTCCCTTTTCCCCTACGTATGATGCCTTTTATCTTGCATCTCGCTTGCAAGATGGAGATCCAATTTCCATTTTTATCTATGTTTAGAGTGTCAATGATACCTTCTTGAACTTTATAATGCTACCTTCTTGCTTTTATGCATGATTTCCTCGGCGGAACATCTTTTCTGTTCCTAATGAGGAAAACATGATATTGATCATAAGGGTAGGGCTTTGATCTTTGATAACTAACAGGAACTCTCTTTCTGTACACTATTGGCAAAGAAAAAGAAAATTTGAGAAAGGAGATTCTGCACATATGAAGGAAAAAAGCAAGAATAACAAAAATCAGACGTGGTCGATGCATCTCCTGGACCTTGGATTTCTTTCCATGTACATCCATTGGCATGCCTTCTTTTGCTTATTGGGTTTATCTTGAAAAATAATTCACACTTTGCTGGGGTGGGGGGTTTTGGGGTGGGGGGTTTTGGGGAGGGGGGATGTGTGTTCTCATGTGTATCTCATACTTAACTTTATCATCTGAAGTGAGGCGCAAAAAATGTTGAGTGCTTCGCCTCGCTTAGCGGGCGCTTCTCTGTCGTCGTCAAGGTTCTAAAGCATACTTTTCCTTGCCAATGAGTGTAATCCTAAAGAGGTGACACTAGACAACTGATATTTCACTTTATCGTAATTCTTTTTCAATTTCTTTGTTCATATAGTTGTTATTCATGCTTATAATTACTAGTCTTGGGACTACACATACATATTTGTATTTTTTCTACATTTGTGTCTTTCTTCATTAAAGCGGGAGGCTTTATTTAAGCTTTACGCTTAAACACCCAACGGACCTTAGAGCTTCTTTGCGCTTTTCACTGTTTGATAACACTGATTATTGCCCTATATTTAATATTCCTTTCATTTATTACTTATGCAGTGCTATGCAGCATGGTTTGGTGCGTGTCCAGGATTAAAGGTGCTTGCTCCATACTCTTCTGAAGATGCTCGTGGCCTGCTTAAAGCTGCTATCAGGGATCCAGATCCTGTTGTTTTTCTGGAAAATGAGTTGCTGTGAGTTACTTTATTGATTTACTTATTCGAACTCTGGCGTTTACATATCATAATGTATCATCGTTGTGTGACTTGCATGATGCAGATATGGTGAGTCTTTCCCTGTTTCAGCTGAAGCTCTTGATTCTAGTTTCTGTCTTCCCATTGGAAAAGCCAAGGCAAGTTCTACCATGTGTATCATATGTTTCTTTGTATCATCGATATGTGGTATTGTTCCTTATATTATAACCATTGGCAGATAGAACTTGAAGGAAAAGATGTGACAATTACTGCTTTCTCAAAGATGGTCGGCTCTGCTCTTAAGGTTTGTCTGGCCTTTCTACCTAGCACTATATGGAGCACTTCTGAAGGAATTCCAACATCAGCCTTTTTGAAAATATTTTAATGTTACGCTGATAATTGATTCCTATTGAATTATATGTGAATAAAGATAGCCAGTGTATATGCATCTGAATATGTTTAACAAGTTGGTAGCAACTAATGGACCGCATGAGCATATATACATATGGGAAGCAATCCTAGTTCCTGTTAATTTTTAATGCTGCTTGATAATTATGGGGACTGTTATCGAAGACTTGAATTATGTGACAGCTTTGGACTGTGACTGCTGTCTCTCCTTTTTATGTGGCGATATGTAACTGTGACCATAGCAATTCTGAATTATCAGAAAGCCCATGGGTTTTCAGCAGCTAGTTTGCTCTCTGTTAGGTTGTGTGATGAAGTGTTTATCTGTATTTCTAAGCTTCTGAAGCTTTAGATTCTCGGCATGCATGCCTTTAACATTTGGCTAATCCTCTCCTACAACTTATGTTTAGTGGCAGATGCACAGTTTATGGTACAGGTTCGCAGAACCCAGTAGCTTTGGCTAGATCTTATAAATGTGTCGAGAAATCCACTAAATATGTACATATAATAAACTGCGAACACAATAGCATAAATGGGCCATGGGTTCGATGGCAAGCTCGGGGTCGTTTGAACCCATAAACTTCAAATTCTGAATCCGCCTCTGCCCTCTGCCTATGATCTGCTTTTTCAGCAGGGAGAATTTCATATTAAAATTGCTTGATTTGGTGGATAGATATTGCATTAAAATAAATGGATGACACTGTTTTTAATGTTATAATCACCAATTTCCTTATGTATTAAATCTGAATTTTATAGGCTGCTGAAATTCTTGCGAAGGAAGGAATTAGTGCTGAGGTAACGTGTTCGGTTTTTGGTTTTGGTTTAAATCATTAGTCTATGCTTACAAGGTGTCTGTTTCTTTATACTAGTTTCCTTTAATTCCTTATTTTTTCATGTACAGGTTGTAAATCTGCGCTCAATCCGACCGCTTGATAGATCCACAATTAATGCATCTGTCAGGAAAACCAACAGACTTGTAACTGTGGAAGAAGGGTTTCCACAACATGGTGTTGGCGCAGAGATCTGGTTGCCTTCTTTATAACAATCTTAGTTCCCTATCCTCTTTTCTATATCTATTTCAGATACTTCCCTCTCCCCTCCTCAGAACAAAAACGAAAAAAAAGAACTCCCTCCGTTTCAACTTTCAATTTATATGACATACTTTTCTTATTAGCCCGTTTAAAAAAGAATGACACATTTCTATATTGGAAACAATTTAACTTTTATGCTTAAGTTTCAAAAGTTTTCTTTTTTCGGAGTCAAACCACGTCATATAAATTGAAACGGAGGGAGTAGCTAAAAGAGCTTTTGTTCCATTTTATGCTGCTTTATCGAAGAAACTTACTTGATTGCATTTTTGTCTTGCATTAGTGCATCTGTGGTTGAAGAAAGCTTTGAGTATCTTGATGCACTAGTTGAGAGGATTTCAGGGGCTGATGTTCCTATGCCATATGCAGCAAATCTCGAAAGGATGGCTGTTCCACAGGTTTGTAGTTGAAGATCATCTTCTTTTTCTTATACTGGAAATAGGCGTGTTTTGTTAGGGCTTGGCCAGTTTTTGTGTGTTGTCTTCAATTTGGTTCTATTATGACTATTGTGATAAAAATGGAAAATATGGCCATTAACTGGGGGAAGAAAAAGATATGACCCAACATGATTGGGCACTCTTTCTGGTCTTTGTATATGATTACATCAATCAATGATGTAGAAGGTTTAGTGTCTGATGCATTCTGATAAGCAAATCAGCTGTGTGATATACCTCTGAATCAGTTGGTCTCGAATGTGGCATTCTTCCATATATCAGAGGACAATTATTTTCGACCAAGCTCAGGGTAAATGAGGCTGCTATTGTCATACGGAATTGGGGTAGTGTACCAGTCAAAGAAAAGAAGAAAACAAAGAAGAATTCAGAGCAAATTATTGAATCAGTAGGAGTATATGCAAGTTCTCGAAGTCTATTTTTTCAATTCCAGAAAAAGGATCATAATCATACATGCGTATATTAAGGTGCTTGAAAGTTAAAGAGGGTATAAAATGTGTTATTGGAGATAGACATCGGATATCCCAGAAGCTCATGGGGAATATTTCTTCCCATTGATTATTGGTTGAATTGCATGTCCAAGCTGATGATACTTTTTCCATTTCCTTCTGAGTATTTGAATTTGATGATGCAGGTTGAAGACATTGTTCGAGCAGCAAAGAGGGCATGTTATCGATCAGCACAAAAATCAGTTCCCATGGCCGCAACTGCTTAGGCCCCCATGCTCGTTCTAAGAATTTTATATCATTTTGTGGATAATGATTCTTTATCCGCCATCTCCGGGAAAGTTGACCATGAAACAAGACTGACTAACTGAAGTGGCGGGCTACAGTAAAAATCATAGAAAATAAATTTTGCTGGTTCTTACTTTTTTCTCTTTACTTTTTTGTTAGACAAACATGCGAACAGTTAGAAGATAAAGAAGGAAGTCCAAATGCATCCGTTAGTTGTTTACCCATAAAAAGGTATAGTTGAATTTGTATACGTAGTTTATAGACACGTAGATTAAGATGGTCTGATTAGTAAAATTACAAAGAATAAATGAAACGAAATAGAGATAATTTAAGAAAGAACAAGCTTGTATTTCAGGCAGATTCCATCGGAATCAGGATAAAACAATAGAAATGAGAGAAAAAGACACAGCTTGTTAATTCTTGTTTTTCCTGTTTCTACGATGAATGAAAGCCCATATTGATGATCACATAACGTCGGGAGTGATGCTGTGATTTTCTGTAATGACTATCCCTTTAATGTTGGTTTCTCCAATCAGTGACTTACTTTCCAATTTACTTCTTTGATCTTTGTGTCCCCAGAATTCGCATAATACCGGTCATATAACTATATCCGATAGCTAGCTGCTGATTCATCTCCACTCTGCCATCACTGCAACTTGTCTGCTCTAGAGACGTCTAACTGTAAACTCTAAATTCTACCCAATACCGATAGTACCTCTACTTTCCAATGACTCAACTTGAGGTGATTGGGAAGTAGATTATACCTTCTCTTTTCTTGGCGGGAAAGTTCTCGAACAACTTCTGACACTTGAAATGATGCACCTCTTTTTGCATTTACTGAGTTTAATACTTGTTTCTCCCCGATTTGATGAACAGTTTCGGCAATTACCAAGGTAATGATGACTTTACTATAAACTTACCCTTCTCATCAATTTTTACTTTACTCTTTCGAATCTTTTCAACAAATCCTTCAATTCTCTGCATCTTCTCCTTCTCAGCAAAACTTCTGACTTTCAACAGTAGACTTCACTACTTCTACCATCATGTCTTCTGCTATTTCCATCTCCAACAACTCATCTTCTGCCGCTAAAAAATACGATCTTGTGACGGACGTGGCTTCATCCCTTTCTTCAACTGTCAGCGTCGGGACTTGCATCGGTCGGGGGCCGTCCAAAAAAAGCAAACCCAAAAGTTTCGATGCTGATCCCCATATTACAGGTATGATCATTCCTAAAGAATGGTCCTCAACAAGGATCTGCAGATCCAAAACCCTTCCTCTAATCCCAGCAACGATAGAGATAGAGCAGTGGCGAGTATTCTTGGTCTATTCAGTAGGCCAACATTCTTATTGTGAAGGAGGACGGCGGCTGGAAAAATATTGAGGTTTAGGCCCCCTTGACATGGAAAGCATAACTTTGAGTAAGCCAGGGTATGTTTTTGTTTACACATACCATTTTACCCTCAGACTTGGAAATGAGATCGACCTTGTTATTCTCGGGTTTTATTGGAGTTACCAAGTCTGTTTGGCTCAAGTGGGTCCGACGATATGGCATATGGTAGCGTGTCTCTGGTATCTATGTTCCCGGGCACAAGAAGATCTTACCCTTGCACACCTGATCCGCCTTGATGCTCCCAAAATCATTCGAGGAGGCGTGATCAAACTTAGTAAATATGGTCACAATGCTATCATCACCAGCTTAGATGATGACAATGACCGTGGTTGGATGGAGAGATTCATTGTCGTTGCTCCTGGGTATCTTCGTAAGAATCTCTAATTCTGAGAGTTGAAATTATACTCATACGTTCTCTTAATTACATACTTTTCTTTATCACCTTTTGAGAAAAAATTTCACCATTTTGCATTTTTTTCTTTATTTTTAGCCGCTTGTTAGGTTCCCCCGTAGTTGAAAACCTACCCCAGTTGGTTCAAAAGATTTTGGACACTTTCACGCTGGAACTCTGCACGTGAATAGAAATTTAAATAAAGAAAAACTGGAAGTGCAAGAATCATGGTGGGAATACCTTCGTCCACCCTTCTCATTAATGTGCATCTTCGTTCAATAATAGACTGTTGACCTTTCCACTTTGTATTACAATCTCGGACCCTTCCAAAGGATCATCTGTCTGTCCGGTGGTTGATGTTTCATTCGACCCGAAGGTGGCCCAACAACAGCTTCAGGAAGTCTTGACCGGAAAAGAGCTCGGGATGCAGCATCTGCTTCCGGTGAAGCTCCATCATCTGTCAGTCCCTAGCCCCAGAAGAATAGGGCTAGAAGAAGACACTCCTCTAAAACTAGGAGAAGGTGAAACTTTCGGTCACTGAAGCAATCCCTGAAGGGGTGAATGGTCCTTGATGAGGAGGAAATCGAGGATGATGTTAAAACGGTTTCCCTTCAAAGAAGAAGAAAAAATAGATCTCCAATAGTTCACCTGAAAAAATAGAGCTCCAATAGTCCACCCGAAGGAAACAGATAGACTCTTTCAAGAGTTTGAATTACCTGAAATTACTGACTCTCTCTTCCGAACTCCGGTAGCTTCTACTAGTCAGAAGGGTGTTACTCCGAGTGCTGCCCTAACTTCTGCTCCACCACCGCCGACCGAGAACAATGTATTTGTCCCCCCCGGTCACCAAAGAATGGGAAATAGAAAACACCTTTCCGGCTTCAGTCTGGGACGCTAATGGTAAACGTAGTGTTACAATTACCATTCCGGGTGAATGCCACATTATTTCCAAAGCGGTTGGGGTAGCCAATTATTTGAAACTTCTGGCCACAAAGAAAGACTAGAGAAAAATGGATGCTCTTTCTTCCGAGTGTCTAATCAACAACGGCATGCACCTTTCTGCTTAGGTACCTTTTGTCTTCTTCTCTTTTTTCCAGTTCTCATCTTTTACTTCCTTCTCTTATAACTTTAAATTTACTTTTAGGCTAACATTTTTGCCTCTGAGAGTCTATAAAGGATGAAAATAGAGAAAGAAGAACTTCGGTCTAAGTGGGACCAACTTGATGAGCTCCTTCCGACCTTAGAGGCCAATCTTACACAAATGGAATAGCTCGAGGTTGGGAGCAAATTAAACAAGAAAAGAGGGCTCACACTCAAGAAGCCACTCAGCTACATGCTGGACTTCCTGAGTTAAGGGGCAAGTAGGCGGAGCTGCAAGATTCTCTAACTCGGCTGCTGAATGGGAGTTTGTTTCCATGAAAAAGGTTCGAGCCTTTGAAGCTGACATGCGTTCTAAAATTGAAGAAGCTACTATGGCCGAAGAAAAAAGGACCAAAATGGAGAAAAGGCTCCGAAAGGTCATGGAACAAAACTGAGAATATGCAAAAAATAATTTAGACCTGGTGGAGACCTACATGATTTTAAAGGTTGAAGTCGAAGACTTATGCAGTTTACATCATGCGGAGGAAGATTTTGGAGGTTGCCAAAATCGGCATTGAAAATATAGATGACTGCATTCCCGAAGCTCGTACTATAATAACAACCTCTTTTGAGAATATACCTGTCCGACCTACTGCTTCAAGTTCTTCAGACACCTTCTCCGAATCATCTGAACTTGAAGAAGAAGATGAAGATGAAGATGTAGAGCATGAGGATGAGAGGCACATGATGAGCCTTCAGCTCCGAAAAATGCGAGCTTGAGAAATGCTCCCACCTTTGAAGCCTCCTAACCCTCAACATCTGCTGATAAGGCAGATTAATTTATCTTGTAATTTTTAACAACTCTTATATCTATTCTAAGCTCTCTTTTGGGCCTAAAACTTTGAAATGAAAAGTATTTTTTTCTTAGCTTCTCGGAGTTTTAAGTTAACAAAAGATGTGTCTTGATCTATACTTTTCTATTAATAAAGTCTGGGAAATTTTGCATCCGATTGACTTTATTACCGGGTATTCTAGGTTCCGGTTTTTAACCTATAACTGGAAAGGTTTCATAAAAGTGGGCCTTTATGTTTACAGCTCTCTTGAAGAGGATGTTTCCAATTTGTTCCGACACTTATAAAGGAAACACTAAGCTTTTTGGACAAGAAATAAGAGATGAATAGAAATAAAAAGATTTTTTATTTATTCCTTCTATTTACAAAAGTGTATTAGGACAAGCAAAAAGATTACATTTGCCATAATAACCGAACTGCGAATTCATGTGCCTAACTCATACTTCTTATTTTTATGGGGTTGGACGTGCAGTCCATGGTCTCAGTTTAAGGTGATCCATAATAATTGAACTTCTAATTTCAAAACGTATTCTCCCGATTTAGCAGTCCCCGGTATTTCTCGTTACCGGATAATACATTCCACTTGCTTTTACTTTTAATCTAGCACTAACACTTTTAGTATTTTCGATCACGATCTGATACCAGTAGGAATAGTCCTCCCCCAAGTGTTAGAATGCAAAGTATGAGGGTTCAAACACTGGATGTCCTGTTGCCATTAATAATTTATCTTCGTAATACACTTGAAGTTGATGCACCATTAAAAAACTTGCCAGAAAAATCTATTAGGGACAAAAATTGGACGAAGAAAAAAAGAGTGCATTGCATACTTTCAGTCTAATCATCAATCTTTAATAGTATTACCTTTTGAGATGGCTTACGTTCTAGTTGTTTGACAATTTAACTCTATTTTTATTTTCCCGTTGATATGAGCCTTTTTCGGTTATAGCTGAATTTCAGTAAGTTCCTTCCCAATTTGGTCCCAACTATCCAGTGTTGACTTTCTGGGTGTCATGAGTCATTTTCCATAAAACTAAGTCTCCTGGTTTATAACAACGGAGTACCTATATTATAGTCAAGTCGTTCGCCTATCTTTCTGATCTCTTTTCCTTCTATTCATTCGCTTAACGATTATAATACTTTTCCATTCCTTGCTTCTGCACCATCATCCTTACATAAGCAAAATCCTGGTGCTCATTAAGCAAATCTAGCTTAATCAACATAGCTTCAACATTTTATAGCTCTCTTGTCCGAGAAAATCTCATAGTTGATTCACCTATCTTCACTAGAATCAGAGCCTCTGCTCCATAGACAAGGGAAAAGGTATTTCGCCGATGCTTAATTTTTTCGTGGTCCGTATGCCCACAATACTCCGGGTAACTGATCACGCCCAACTATGCCTTATAAAAAGGACAATGCGGTCGCTGCAAATATCATCCGGTTTACAAGTCCGGAGTCGAATCCCACAGAGAGTTAACCTATCAACTGCTACCTTCAGACCCACCAAGTCTTCAGAACCA